GTTATATTTGACAATTTTGACGCCGGAGTTCCCTATAATCGCGCACAGTCCCATACACACACAAACAATCGAGGGCCTCTGGATGCTAATCAAACGCACAATTCGCCAACGATTGAGGGCACCAGCCGCACGCTATTGGCGTCATATTTGTCAGAGTTTCAGTGGCGCCACTCCCACAAACATCTGATTGTCGGCCAGTATTTCGAAATCCTACGTCAAAATTTTCACATCTAACCCTAACCCTAACCCTACCCCTAACCCTAACCCTACCCCTAACCCTACCCCTAACCCTAACCCGACCCCTAACCCTACCCCTAACCCTACCCCTACCCCTAACCCTACCCCTAACCCTAACCCTACCCCTAACCCTAACCCTACCCCTAACCCTAACCCTACCCCTAACTCTAACCCAACAACCGCATGATGATGACTACACAACCATTCACAATGCCTCACGAAACCGTACGCAGCCCTACACGCAACCGCAGGATGATAGGTAAGTGTGTCGTTTATTTCGTTTGTTTTCCGATTACTGTTCGGAGTGCGGCCAAGGGAGAGAACTCTGACTAACTCGTCCACGGCTGTTTATTCTTCGTCCGGATTTGACAGGAGAGCCAATTAATGTTATGTTTATCGCAGATGAAAACGATATTTAGAAATGACACTTAAACAGTAATTTTGAAGTAACTACTTCCAGCTAGTGTGCACATCATATATATTTAATTATGGCTATCCTCCGAATAACGGGCACTAAAGATGGCGGCCGCAAAATATCCTTACGAGCCTCAGTCACGTGTCAATTGCGCACTTCCTGCGACTTAATTTGCGGTTTTCCAGTGGTTTTCCGCCGACTACCGCCACCGCCACGAGTCCCCCACGCCGTGTGAGCGGCGTGGATTGGGGCTAAACTAGATGGCTAGGACTCACGAGCAGCAGCTTCCGCATCTCCTGCAGTTTTGCTCGTGAGTCCTAGCCATCTAGTTTAGCCCCAATCCATGCCGCGTGAGCAGCATGGGGGAACTCGCGGCGGTGGCGGTAGTCGCCGGAAAACCACAAATTAAGTCGCCGGAAGTGCGCAATCGACACGTGACTGAGGCTCGTAAGGATATTTTGCAGCCGCCATCTTTAGTGCCCATTATTTGGAGGATAGCCTTAATTACTATTATTTTGTAAACTTTTTTCCTACTCTGTTAATTTAAATTTCAAATAGTACTAGTAGCCGTATTGTATTCTGATAACAGCTGTTGTCTTTCCTTGTTAAAAATGTATTGTGTTGTGGTCAAGATCGTTGTCATCTTCAGCATTCTGAGCTGTTTAGATTCACAGCTGCAGATATCCCCCACTACCATTCACCTTTGTGACTGGCCTTCTCTTTCCAGCAGGTGATTCCAAGTGTCTCTGCTTGTCCCATGGTCTCCTCCTGTTTTGTGCTTGCAGTTTTGTCTCTTTGCTGTATGGCATTCTCTCTGTATGCCCCAATCATTGCAGTATATAAGCCCTCATGATGCTAGTAATTAGTGGGGTATAACAAGATTTCCTCTGTTTTCACCTGTGTGTATTTTTGATGAGTCTAAAGATTCATCATAAGACTGTTCTCAAAATGTTGTAATAAGACTTTGTCTCTTTTAGTTGTACTCCAGGTTTCAGAGCCATAAAGGACAAGTGATTCTTATAATTGTTTTATATATTGTGTGATCTTGTGTTAAAAAGATGTTAATAGAGCATGTTGATCAATGTGATCATACAGAAAGTAATAACAGTTGTGTTTGACTGATAAAATTGAGAGCAAAGTAGTAGGACTAAATAAAAGTTGTAAATTCAACTGTTCATAATTGCATTTATTATGATGGCGATAATGATTTTGATAAAGGAAATGATCGCTAACCAGATGATATTGGTAGTTATGAATAAAACAGTTATACACATGATCATTAGTAAATGATAATAATTATGATGACTAGGCTGCTGATATAGAAGATGATTTAAAAAATGGCAACATAAAGGCAGTTAAGGAAAAAAACAGACAAGGTGATCATACGGAAAATGACAGTAGTGTTGCCTAATGGAACACAAATTGTGGAAAACTTTATGAGAAGATAATGATGGTGAATATTTGATAATCATATTAGTAGTCACTAACATTACAGTCAAGAGAATTAATTACAAGAGGCTAATGATAGTAGTGATGGACATCTCAGTGTTTTTGAGAGGATAATGATGGCATATGTACTGATCAGTGCTACCAACACCCAGAAAATAAGCCTCAGCCCCCACCCCCCATCTGCACCTTACACATTTTCTAGGTTAAAAAAATGCGGCATCAAGGAGCCTAACCCTAGTTTAAGAACATAAAATAAATAGTACAGTACTGAGTGAGGAAAAATATAATTATATATGTGAAATAAAGGAAATGTGTAAACACATACTTTTAAAGAGAACTTTTATATACTATGGATAAAGTGGGCTGCAAGGAATCTGCTTTCTGCCACGATTCAGCTTTATATGATTACTACAACATAGCTACTTGTACTGCTCCTAACGTCTAGGATTGATAACACAAATGGCCCTCAGTTCCTTTATACATTCTGTCAGTTTATTCTGGCGCATTCTTCCACAATGCTCCAGCATTATTCAAACATCCACGAATCATACACAAGACATTAAAACTATATCTCCTAATACCATAACTGTCTTCCTCAACTTCTGTGTAGGCAACTGACCACGAGTCCACCTCGGACTCTCCCTCGCCTACCCGTCCAGCCCCAAGAATCTTGTGTGGTCATTTGTCGCACTGATTTTCCACTTTGCTCGCTATGAGCGCAGAGACCATGCCAAGCACCTCATCGAGCCTCCGAGTTCCCTTACAGTATTGGGGTAGGGGAAGCCTGAGTCTGTTACACATGCTGCTGATGACAAAACTGATGATGGAAAAGATAACAGTTCTGAAAGTGAACAGAGATGCTGCTGATAATGAGGTCAGAGTTGGATAATCTGGAAAACTTAAGGATCATGACAATTTGCTTTGAAACCAAATAGATAGAGAGTTGACACCACTGCACTCGGGAAATTCCAGCAAGCACCGCACCCACTTCCCCAGTAGCCATTGAAGAGTCAACATGCTGATAGTACCAGTTGCAACCTGACTAAAGGTTTGCCTGTTTCCCCATCTCGGTGTTAAGTTAAGAATCTGCATTACAGCACTTGGAACACTCCCATAAGTGCTCTGTCTCCTTGTTCAGCAGCACAGGAAGAGTTCCAATTCTGATGGCACCAGTAAGTGTCTGATTGTATATCAATGTAACCTTTCCCTTGAGTGTTGAGCATCAGCCAGATAACCAGCGCCATCTTCCTCAGACTGTAAGGATCTGTTTGTGCCTCTTCACTGTTCACACACTTCCAAAGTGCCCTAACATCTCACTTGTCATACATCAATTCACCACTAGGTGGTGCAGAACTGGCCAGTCTATCTGCCTGCTTGTTTTCTAACACACCAGCATGACCTGGAGAAAATATCAAAAGGACCTTAACTACTTGGGGCCTCTGAAAGGATGGTTGCCACTCCGCACTGAGCATGCCTCTCTCCACCTTTCTTAACATGCTCTGTGAGTCATCAGTGCCTGGATTAATACATTGAGGAGTTGGAACCGTTGTCAAGTGACAGAGAAGAGGAGATACAATTACAATGCAGTTATATACAGTATTAAGTTTTTTTTTTAAAAGTACATTTAATGGACTTATTTTACGCCAATGGGTCATATGATGCTAAACTCATATTTTTATAGACCTGTCCGCACTTCGGGGGTGATGTCTTCTTCTTCTTTTTTTGGGTTCGGTTTCATATCCTCAGATTAGACCATCAGGTGGGTTGCCTCTATGAACTCACATGTCAGTATGTCAGTAGCAGGTCCTTCAAGGTTCCTCATAGCTTGATCTGCACACTTTGCTCTTCAGGCCAGGTGTCTTTTTGAAGTTGTAGGTAGAGTAGGCAGGTCTGCAGAATGTGCTTATGTGTTTGTGGTCCTGTCTGACAGGCACACTGTGGGAACTGTACAATCTTTATTTTATGCACGTGGCAGTTGAGCCTGCAGTGTTCTGTTCATAGATGGTAAATTGTTGTATGTTACTTTCTGTTGAGTCTGCTGATGGGGTTCGTGTTGATGTTAACTGTTAGTTTGTTCTCTCCACAATTCCTTGTATTTCCCTTTGATAAGTGTTCTGATTTCTGGTAATGACAGTAAATGTGCGTGTTGTTTCTCCTTTGTTCCATTTTTTGCAAGTCTGTCTGCTAACTCATTAGCCGGAATGCCACAGTGAGCTGGGATCCACTGGAGACGATTTGTTGTTTTCTGTGTCTGTTTGGCTGGTATGTTAGTTTTCTCTCCATGTTGTCTTCTGGATTCCCCTGAGTCGCCTGGGGGACTGATATGCAGTCACAACAGAAAACAGTTTTGCTGTTTTTAATTTTTCTTTCCTCGAGAACTTTGGCTGAATCAATAATTGCTTGCTGCTCTGCTCTTAAGTTTGTTAAGTCTTCTGGAGGTGCATGACGATACTACTGTGGTCCCATCTTGCAGCATGATGACTGATCCAGCTCCTCCGTTTTTTTCTGTTCCCTCCAGTAATCCATCGGTGTAATCGTGTGTCCATTCGGGTTTTGGATAACAGTTGTGGGGATGTGTTCAACATCACGCCAGTCATCTTTACTTTCCAGCTGGTACCCTTTTTAGGATGAGTTGACATGGGAACCAGTGTCACTCTTGATGAACATTCACCTCGATGCAGAATGAAACCAAGACTTTTAGGTCAGCAGTCGAGCATATGGCCAATACACTACCATGGCTGTTATAGTATTAGTAGCAGTAAATCTTCAGTTTCATTCAGAAGGCTCTTTGGCTGAATTATGTTGTATCTAAGTCGTTAGTGTCAAGTATTAAACAGTTCACTTTGCATACAGCTTGCGTTTATTTTATTTGATCTCATTATGATATCTTCCAGCTGAAATGTCTCAGAATGGTTTGCCAGAGTCAAACACACCAGACACAGAAATGAGCCAGCCAGTACCCACAGAAAATACCCCAGCAGATGATGTAAAAGATGAGACTGAGGTTAAAGCAGAACTATTGGTAAGTCAAATGTATTTATGTCATTTATTGTCTCTTTTGGCTCTTTTTTGTTGTTGCACTTTTCAAACTAGTAAAATAAAATAAAGGACTCTATTCCATGCTTGCAGGCATATTGGGCATATAGTGCTGGGCATATTTTATAGACCAGTTGGCACTTGGTAGGTGATGGGGTCAACATCAGGCCGGCCATCTTTACTTTCCAGGACTTTGCCTGGTACTCATTTAAGGCTGAATCAACCTGAGAGCTAAGGCCATTTCTTTAAATGTCAGGCTCCGTTTACAGGAAAATAAATAGTAGAAATTTATGAAAACTAGCATAAGAGTGCACAGTTTTGTGAAAATCACTAGAGAAAAAACAGCCAACACATGCTGGGGGGAATTCTTCCATAGAGTAGATTCAGTGTATCTAATTTACTAGCATATGGAGTAGAGTCAGTGTACTTGATGATTGTACAAAATGTAAAGATATATAAATGCAATATACCTGACATACTAACATTTGAAGTAGACTGAATGTTACCTATAATGTGTTCCACAGAAAGGGAACATTGAAGACAAAAACAGCCAGTCTCAGAAATTGCAGCCAGGAGAGGTAACTATGACATCATTGAGTTCTATTTTGTGTTGAAACTGATTTGCTTTACAGCTGTGGCTAATGATGTTTGCGTTGAATTACTTCTGCATGTCACTTAGTTCACATCTGTACTTGGACCAGGTAAACAACAAGCAATCATTAGATCAAATGTATAATTTATTGTATCTTTTAAACTTCTATTTTTGTGTGAAACTTTCAGTCCTGATGAGGTGAGGCTTATGATGTTTCTGAACATATAAAAGGACAGCACTATGGGCTATAATGAAAAAGCCTGATAGGTATAGAACTTATAAGACTGATGCATTACAAAACACAAGTAATACAAATACATTTTGTATCATAGAAAGTCCTGGGGTAGGAGCCTGTCCTACTACTAGGCGTGTCCACCAGGTGGCGGATGGTGGAAAGGCCTCTAGATATAGAGGTTAGCCACGAATATATTGAATAAGTGGCCGTGGACCCAAAACAGGTGATGGTCATTGAGAAGAGGCGAGTTAGTTGGTGGGACAGCTAACTCTATAAAATATCTCAAAACTCTACGACATTTCCATGGAAATGTGGTTGGTGGGCACAATATAAACAATTTACGTTATGCTGATGACACAGTCTTGATAGCAACAAGTCAGAAAGAACTACAGGAGATGATAGACATTGTGGTGTTAGAAAGTGGAAGAATGGGCATCAGTTTGAATAATGGGAAGACCAAAATAATAGTGGTATCAAAGAAACGAATTATTCCTAAGTGTGTAATAAAAGTTGATGGTGTTATTTTAGGACAAGTACAGAAATTTAAGTATCTGGGCACATGGATAACATCAGATGGAAGATGCATAACTGAGATAAGAAATAGAATAGGACAGGCAAAAACTGCATTTTATAAAATGACAAACATCTTTTGCAAAATTTCCTTGTCATTGAGAGTTAGAAAAAGAATTCTTGCTTGCTACATACCTCCAGTTTTAACAAATGGCTGTGAATCCTGGACAATCGGTAGGCAGGCCAAACAATTTCTGGAGGCCTCAGAGATGTAGTTTTACAGAAGAATGCTTAGAATACCTTGGACAGTCAAAAAGAGCAACCAAGAGGTTTTGAAAGAGGCGGGAGCCGGAAGACGGAGACAGTCATCATTTTTCGGCCATGTTATGAGAAGAGGGAAAATAGAACATGTTGTGACCACTGGAAAGATATGTGGAAGGAGAGATAGAGGAAGACAATGAGAGAAGATGCTTGACAGTCTTGTTGCATGGCATGGAGGTGTGTCGGCACACGAACTGATACATGCTGCAGGAGATCGCAGATTATGGAGAGGCATGATCGCCTACGCCAGTCGGCAAGGCACCTGATGATGATGATCATAGAAAGTAAGGACGATCATTAGATTTTAACATGTGTGATTCCCCTTCTGGGTTCTTGGGCCCCATTTAATTGAAAAAAAAACAATAATAGGACCACTGCCCTTTTATAAGCGGTTTGTAAAAGATGACTAATGAAGGATTTGCTGAAATCAGATGTTTTGGGCTAAAAGACGCTGTTCTTTGCAGCCCAGATATAACCAGCAACACAGAATGCCAACCAGGGAGAATGAAGAAGAAAGACAATCAATAATTAGTTCACTGGAACATAAGGCAGCATCTGCATCAGTTCACACTTCTCAGTTTCTGTTCATCAGTTTATTTGTGTGTGTGTGGATCCTGTGTATGCCCTCCCTTGGTTATGTCAGCCTTTCATTTGTATCCTGCTGTTTTCTCCTTTTCTATTCACTACTAATTTGAGTCTGTCTGTTCCTGTCCATCCAGGCATTTATAGTCTCTTCTAGCTTCTGTCCCATCTGTTTATCAGCTAGTGTTTAGTTTTTCCCCAGTCTTCCATTAATTTCAGCCCAGTCTTGACAATTTTTGGGGGTTAAACCTGTCCATTATTCTGTATCCCATCATTTTGTATTCAGTATTTTCATCACCTTCTTCTCATTCTGTTCATCATCTTCTGCTCATTATGTTTTTTGGTGTCTGTTCATCAGCATCCGTTCATTCTTTTCATTGACTCCTGCCAGTTTTTTTCATCACATTTTCACTTCATTCTTTTTATCAGCTTCTGCCAGCTTGTACCTCAGATTATGTTTATCACCTCCTGCCCATATATTTGTCCGCTTTTATCTGTTGTGTTATCAGTTTCTGTGCCAGCTTGTTGTCCACTTTCTAGCCAGTGTGTTCATGAGCTTGTGTCTAGTCTGTTTGTCATCTTCTGCTCACTTTCCACCAGTTTCTGCCCATTCGCTTCTGTTTATCACTGTCTGTCTTACTTATTAGTTTAATTTCTGGAGTTCTTTTTCTTTTATTGGGTAGCCTTTCTCTAATTTCTATATTTGTTCAGTAAAATTCATTTTTACACTGTGATTTGTTTTATATTATAGCAATTATAAGGTTTTTTTTAAAGCTTTATTCAGTTATTTTTTATAATGGCCTTCTTTAGAAATAGGTATAATAATACAAATGCTTATCTTCTTTTCAGGTTTTAACAAGTGGACATGAGGGAGAATCTAGAATCATCAGTGTTGAGGATGGACTTTTTGATGAACTGGAGGAGGACAATGAAATTGAAGACAAAAATGATGATAATGAACATGGTATAACTGAGGTTGATGAAGAGATTAATAAATCCACTTTTGGTGATAAAGGTCTGACCTCAGATGTTCCAGATATCATGCAGCTTCCAGGGTTTGTTCATGAGGATCAGACATTGAAAGGAGACTTGGAACAGGATGAGGAGGACATTGAGATCACTCTGAAGTCCAGAAGTAAAAGACCTATCACATCACCTGAGAAACTGGCGGCTGTTCGCAGAGATACTGAAATGTCATTTGGCTTTGATGACGAGGCAGCCAATGACAGCAGTTTGCATAAAGAGACTAATAAAAGGGGAAAGCGTGCTGAAGATAAAGACAGATCTGAAAAAGAGACTCCTCCGGAACCAGCAAGGCGAAGGGGTAGACCGTCAAAATCTAAAAATGATTCGATAGTATCTGAGGAATCTTCTGCCCCAAGGAAAGGGAGAGGTTCGAAGAAAGAAAGTGGTATAGTAGATGCTGAAACTCCATCTCAACCTTCGAAGAAACGTTCAGCCAGGGCTTCAACAAATGATATTGATTCTGCTGAAGATGAAGCTGAAGACAAGGAGTCAGAACAAACAAATTTTAAACGCAGAAAAGTGAAGCCACCTCTGAGATATGGAGAAGATTCATCTCCGTCAGTTAAAACAAATAAAGCTAAAAGTGTCAGTAAAAGTGACAAACAAGCTAGTAAAGGAAAGAATACCATAGATCGTGAAGAAGTGGAAGCTTCTACAGTTGTCATAAAATCAGAAGATTCATCAAGCCTAGTGGGAAAAGCACGCTTAAAGGAACCAGAAAAAGAAGTAGTGCTTCAGAAAAAAAGAGGGAGACCACCAAGGAAGGAGGCTGAAATAGAAGAGACAAAACAAAATAAAGAAAAAGAGAAAAAACCAACAGCAAGACAAGCTGTTAAAGATGTTGCTGCAGTTAGTTTCGCAAGTAAACCAGTTGCCCCAAAAGAGAAAAACTTAGCAACACCAAAGTTCAAAGGTGGTCGGGGGCAACAAAAGAAGAATGATGATCATGATACTGAGGAAGAAGAAGAAGAACATATAGTATTGCCAGCTCGAAGAGGGCGTCCTCCAAAATCTCCTGCTGCAGCTCCTGAACCTAATAGTAGAAGAGGGACAAATATTGTACAGGTTACAGATTACCTGGAAGAAGAGGAGGAGGAGGAGGAAGAAGAGGATGAGGACGATTTTGATGAAATGGAGGAGGAGGAAGACAGTGAAGAAGAGTATACACCTGTATTGAATGCAAGGAGAAAGATGATCTCCTCTGATGTTAGACGTAAGCGACCAAGATCTCAGGCTGAGGTAAGATCCAGTTTTTTTCTTGTTTTTATTTTCTTCTTGGAAGAAGCTATTATAAGGTTGAAATACAACATATCAAGGCAAAATAGCTGAGAGAAACATCAGCAGAAGGCAAACTGTACAGGCCTCTGAATGAATTAAAAAAGACAGTGAAGTTCATACTACAGACAACATTGCAGATACAGATAATCTATTTCAAGCAAACAAAAGAAGAAGTCAAATTAGGCTAATTATCATAATGTCCTCTCTAAGTATCATCACGTTGTCAGAGATAAGTGAAAGCCTTTCTGACGTTTGGACTACAAGCAAAAGCTGTGTAGTTTTCTAGTGTTTGAGAAACAGTCTTTTGGTGGGTCACTAATAAATAACAGAAACATTGTTTATCAAAACACACACTCTGTCTCTCTCTCTCTCTCTCTCTCTCACACACACACGCACAGAGAGAGAGAGAGGGATATTTCAAAATATATTCAGGGAGTAATCAATAAACATGAACGGAGTGAAGCCTACATTGCCTGGAACCTAAAAATGTGTATGGGATGACTCTTGCCATGTCCTCATGACCTCTAACACCTGAAGCAGATGGCTTTATTAAAGCTATATATATATATATCATAATCTCCTAAACGCACATGCACTATCACAGCCAGTGGCAATAACTAGGTATTTTCAGGGTAATAGAGTTAAGGGACTTGCTGCCTGGTGATGATTTAGAAATAAGAGGAATGTGACTTGTTGCTTTCTTCTGTTATCATTTTATAATCTAGTTTGTGTGGCTTTGATAGTCATGTCTGGTAATAACTTTCTGTTTCATCTACTGGTAATTATTTTGATTCTGATATTTTTCTATGCCATGATGCCTGACTGTGCAGTGTTCTCTCTTCTTTGTTTTTTCCTGCCTGTTTTACTCTCCCATTTTTGTGATGTCACAGTTTACTCGTTTCACCCCTTCTATGATGTACTTTGAGAGTGTAAAATTTCTCTTCTGACATGGATGGTGAGGAATGCCCATGTTCTGCACCTGCCTTCCTTTGAGGGTCTGCACACGACTGTTCTCTAGGGACAGCACCTATGGATCAGGGGATGATAAGGCCACCACGCAAATGAGTGTAAAATGCCCCACATTGTCCCACAAAACTGACCAGACAGGCTAACCTGGAAAAGAAATGCCTGAAGTCAAGTGTGCCAGTCAGAAGGTGCAAATATCACAGCATGGCTGTAAACAGGTACAACGCATTTAATGTCACTGAAGTGAATGATGACATAGAAAAAGAATACCTTTCAGGGGATATATAACTAATCTTTCGGCTTCTGTGCTTATTTTCTTTAATACATCCTATGTCTGCTGTTATCAGTGTACCCATATACTTTTGCTTCATCTAGTCCCATTTCACTTTGATACTATTTTATAATTAAACAGATAATTAAGTTCATTTACTATTTGTTTATAACTGACATTATTGTGTTCCCGTCTTTACCGTCCACCCGAGATTGTTTGAAGAAAATTATGATATCACCCATTTCTACACAAGTGAGTTGCAGTTCCAGAACTTACCTCTGTTGATTAACAGGGACTAATCCCATCTGACTATGATTGATAGAATCAGGGATTCAGTTTGGTAATATCAGGAAAGAACTTGGCCACTGAAACTGTAACTATCCATAATTTTCATCTTCTGAAGGAGAAAAAGGAGCACATACATTTGCCGTATGAGTTCCCACAGTATACATGCTTGCTGAATCAGTTTGTCTACTCATGTTTGTGTGAGCTTCTTACCACGGTCACAGTTTAAGCACACATCTTACAGGTGGTGATTGTCACTCCTGGACTGGCAAATGTGAAACAGGAACTTGAGGAAGAGGAGGAGGAAGAAGGAATTGTTGTCAATCACTTCATCCCTGCTTCTGAGAATGCAGGTTAGTTGCTAGTGTTGACAGTCTCATTTATTGCATTGTTGTTATGTTGATTGTGCTATGTTGTAGCATTGAGACAGTTAGCTAAAAGAACAAATAAAAGCTCCCCACCCCCAAATGTAAGAAAAAAATTAGAGACTGGTAAGGTTAATAAGATGTGTCAGTTGATTGTGTCAATCGATTATTATGGATAATTGTGGGAAAAAAAAGAAATAATTTTTGTAAGCTGCCTGAAAATTCTTCATTGTTTTGCTTAGCAGTTACAGAAAATATTGCTTATCTTCCATTTTTTAAAGATATCAGTTAATATGGCAACACTCACTGTATTCGCTAAATTCTCTTGTACTTGTGCAGAAGATATAAAACATGCTTGTTGTAAATATGGTAGCTATATTGACTAATTAAATAGGTCTATCATTTGCAGGTAGCCAGCACATAACCAGCTTAGATGACAGCCAGGTAGGAGAGGAAGAGGTGGTGGTCCGCGAAACTGGAGATAATTCCTTAAGTGATAACTGTATGTCCACCCAGACACCAAACTTTGATGATTTTGTGGAAGTGGAAACCATCTTTGAGACAGCAACTCGGCGCTCGGTACAAACCCAGACAGACCCTCGGCTGAAGAAGAAGAAGTTTGGCCTGATCAGCCAAGACACTGGCATTGATGCTGTAGATTTTGATGACTATGAGTATGAGCTTTTTCAGCGCCACCGCAAGAAAGAAGATGATTATGGTCTGTTTGAAGATGGGGAACATAGGAGAAAGTCCATTCGTCGCAACACAGAGGAGGCCTTGAAATGTCCTTTCTGTGAAAAGGCATTTATTGGTTTGGTTAAACACATCAAGGGCAAGCACAGAGACGAGCACAGTTATGAAGAGGAGATGAGGAACGCCAAATGGAGGGAACGAATCATGAAGGTATGGTACAGTTTGTATTCTTTTTGTGTGAATATTTTGGTTTGTTCATCTTATGCTTTCTCTCCCTCCTATTGACACAGTGTTACTTCTTTCAGTTCTTCTGCTTATTGATCTTCTGATAGTGCTGCTCTGAGAGAGAGAGAGAGAGATTCCAAACAAACAGGCAGGCAAGAGATAGAGAGTGAGTAAGAGACATACACACAGTGTGTGAGAAAGGAGCAACAGGCTTCAAAGGGGGAAAATCGTGGCTCGGTAGGGCAAAGAACAATATCATACAGGTCTGCAGTCTTACAGACATCAGCCTCAGCGAAGAATGGAAACATGTGCCCCAGGTGCTCAAATGCACCGTTTACTTAGTTGGCACGTTTGATAGGATCTCTTGGAAGCAGAATCCAGTTGCTGTCAATGCAGAGGTCCACGTGCTTATCTGTTAAAATTCAGATGAAACGGATGTACTGATCTACACAGAGGGGTCCATTGCACGAGGACAAAAAAGGGCATGGGCATTTACTGCCTGCTCTGCAGGCAGAACAGTCCAGGAGGCCAGTGGTGCCTTCTGTATGACTACTAGCAGCATGACAATGGAGGTGATGGCGGTAACACAAGCTTTCATGTGGCTAGCATCGCGGGACTATTCTCACATGTGTGTGCTGAGTGATTCCATGAGCATGATCCGGTGGGTCTAGGCTGGCTTTGTACGCAGACAGTGGATCGAGTCATTGCAAAACTCCACTGTGTATGGAGTTACCTTCATGTTTGTACCAGGTATGTTCTTCGCAGTGAAGGAGCTGACAAATTAGCCAGCTGTGCCTTAGTTACAGAGGGCCAGCCCATGGATTGTGCCAACATTGTTAATGCTATTAGAAAGATGGGACATTCTGAGGATTTTGGGAGCAGCATTTCCACATCTTCGCTAAGAGTGCAAGATTTGGAAGTAAAAATTGGCACAGCCAGGCACGAAAAGCACACCGGACGCACAAGAAGACTTGTTAACCAACATAGGACTGGGACTATCAACCGTGGATGCTAAAGTATATGTTGAAGGGAGAATCTGAGCACCTGTGGACGTGTCTGGAGTGCCGTGAAGATAACCCAAATCATAAATCATAACTCAGTTCGCACAGACATGAACTCCAACACTAGTCATAATTGAGTGAATTTCTCTTGGTCATTAATCTGTTTCATTAGTAAACAATTTGTAATGTGTTCAGTGGAACTCTTAAATGCAGAATACATTCACTAGTGTGCTAACTTGAAAACAAAAATTCCTGTTTATAATGATTTTCTGCTGACATTTCTGACCTTTTCAATGTGTAGATAAAGATGCCCATGTTTTTAAATAAAAGTACTATCCTATACCATTGTTCCTGCTAACAAATATATGTTCTGCACTGTGTGCAGGTGTCAACCATTGGCATTGATGTGTCTGGAGAGACTTGTACTGAGTGTGGCAAAGTCACCAAAAATATGAAGAGGCACATGGAGCTACACCAACAAAATCGCATGCAAATACCTTGCCCTATCTGCTCCAAGGTTAGTATAAGGGTTTGAAGAAGCTTCCAGGCATGTTGAAATTTTAGAGAGCAGTTTCATAAATGGACTATTAATGATAAATGTAACTTGAATTGATTAGTCAGTGTTGGCTGGCATACTCATCATGTGTAGAGCAGAGAAAAGTTATTGTGGACTATTTTCATTCATGATCCTGTTGTGTCATTACATGTCATAGAGGGCTGACAGTCTATTTCTTTATTCCGTTCTATCTTGTGCAATGTCAGTATCATGGATGGAATCCAGTCTAGTATCTTTGGCTTCCCTCATCGTTTGCCTTCGGGTTTCTATTGAACATCATCATTTCCTCAATCCCTCTGTTTCCTATTTCAGTGCCTCTCTGGTGATTCTCCGTTCATCTCTACTCAGAATGTGTCCAGTATACAGCCATCTTCTGTGTCTTATAACTGTTGATGGTATTTTGGTTTATACCGACTCCTTCTAAGGACAAACCATGGAGATGTCGGCAGACTCACATGGAATTGTATGTCTGAAGGCGTACACAGAAAATGAAGCCCAGTATGTTGTTAGCTGAGTTTATGGAGTCAGGAATTTAGTTAGTTTTATAAATGAACATGATCTTGTGACTACTTGTCACTGAATTGTCAACATCACATGAACACTTTCCTCTAGGCCTGAAAATGTTAGGCAGATTTGGAGAACAATGACTTGGTTGCCTAAATAAAATGCCAGGAAATGTCATGGGAAGTCAACAGGGATGCCATAGTGTTGACCACTCATATAGTGCCAACTGGCGAGTCATCATATGCTGGTGTGAAAAGGGTCCTTCACATGTTTTACTCACATAGGGACCTAGTTAGGATGTGATTGACTAGCTTAGCACTCTAAAAATAGCAGAACATGATTGATTTACATGCCCGTTCAGTGGACATATTGCCAATTGATAGATTTTTACAACAAAATGGCAAAGTGAGAATCATGTGACAGAATCTCATTGTGGAGTTGACTGAATAAATCATACACATTAATGGCAGGATAAGAGAGGATAAGAGATATACAGTGAAACTATTCTCATATTATACATTTACATGCTGAATTCAGTGAATAGGGCATATAACACATTATCGTTCAATGGACAAACAGGTGACAACCAGAAAATACTGTGGTTCTTGAAAGAGAAGACCTGCTGCATATCCAGACATTGTTGAAGAAATATCAGCCTCACTGAGCTGGTCAGTTAGCCTGAATAGCCTGAATAAAGACTGTTAACTTTTTTTGTAGAGAGAATAGTTACTGTGAAACTGCAGTATGGAAAAAGATGGCGAGAAATAAATACTTCAGAGATACTTAACGTTTCTCTTTGGATTCAGTACAGACATATGTAAAGCTGCCCCCCAAGATCGATCTAGTTGATTTACATTTTTTCAAATGGTGCACTGACAAATGAGGAACAAACAGATCACACTGACAAAACAAATGAAACAAGCTAAAAAGCTCAGTATCTTAAACTCCTCCTCTACAGTCTGCTTTGTGTCCACAGTTTGCTGTCCACACTGCCAAAGAACTTTTCTTGCACTCATCGGTTTCATAAGTAATCTTCACATACTCATCATATTTAAATCCTACTGGAGGATTAGGTGTCTTTATCTCCTTTGAAGGATGGCCATCAGTATTATTTTAGATTTACAGATAAGGGAAGTGAGAAATAACACACATAGGAGCATGAGAAGTAGAGGCTTGAAGAGAGATTGAAGAAGGAGAAACATAACAACGTTGTGCTTTTGGGGTTGCCTACAAACCCGTGCTGCTTATAAACAATAAGAAACCATTAAAAATAAACAATAAAGGATTATATTTAAATAATATGATGAGAGACAGGGAAATATGCCACACACAAAAAATTGTGGAATGTATTTTTTGTGTTCGCATTATTTAAATATACAATGTGAAAAACATTGTTTTAAGCATGGGTATATGATTTAGTCTGATATCAATAACCTTGCTGCTTAGTTTCAACATTACGTGTCACACATAGTGAGCACATACTGTATATGTATGCAGTTTATGTTCTTGCTATTTCTGAAGCAAAAATTGTTATCCTAATTTGTTTTCTCTCAGATTGTGCTGAAGACTGGCATGAGTTCTCACATGAGGACCGTCCACTCTGGAAGGAAACCTTACAAATGTCCCCACTGTGAATATGCATCAGCTTTTAGGGGTAATCTCAACACTCATATTAAGGTGAATTTTTGTGTTTTATATATTTTCTGCGTTTAAACAGTTGTTTTTATTAGTTTCTAAGTAATCAGGCAATCACAGTTCCAACATTGCAGCAAACAGATAGCCTCATACTTGCATCTTTCATGTGTAAGTGAAAACCATACAGAATGTCAGTTACTGTTCCTTCTTGTGAGACTGCAGCCTTGGAAAAGCAAGTAGCTTACACATGCATCAAAAGCATAAGGCAGCCATCAGAATTACCAGTACACAAACATTCCGGCAGTAGAGCAGCAGTTCACCTTTGGTGTTAGCAGCAGTTAAAACAGTAGTTGCATACACCGTTAAGCACACTATGATTGGCCATTCATTCATGCTTCCTGACTTTTCACACGGGCTAGTCCAAGTTACAGGGGTGTAACGTTGTGTTATGTTGGATCTTCTGAGCCATGTATATTTCGCTTTGTGTACTAGTTGATGTGAGCGGCCGGCAAGATTGCATATATTATAGCTTTGCTGAACTTCAAGTAGGACATGAATTTACTTCAGCTGTAAGCGTTGAGGGGTGACAAGGAGAGCAGCATTGATCTTCAGCAGCATGACGGCTTATTAAAACCAGATGCAAATTGTTGACAATTCTGAAACAATGGAACGTAGGCTGCACTCTCTCGTGGGATGTAGTTTGTGGTGGGGGTGTTAGGGCCAGTTCTGGATGTTGTGGGGTCGTTAAAAGCGGTCACATCGTGTAATATAGAACACAGGATATCACCAGTGATTACGTAGAAGAGAACACATCGTGACTTCCCTGTAAATTAGACTAGCACGTGTGAAAGGGGCGATTAACATTTGAAGAACCCATTAGAAATACAAATGTGCATATAGGTAGGCAAACATGTTGCAAATGAAAGGATGCTGCATGTTTTTTCTGTTTTTCTGATGCAGCCAAGTTTGAGTCCCATGTTCTCAGCTATATCCACTGAAATGATTGTTGCAAGTTTTATAGTTTTTTTTATTTTTCATTCATACTTTGCTCTACATGCCTATGAGGAAGCCAAGTTTTTCTTTTAATACTTTTTGTAATATTTTTGAAGTCATAAAATATAACATATTGTATACTAAGATTAAGTGGACACCCCTTTGTGCTTTCATTTTCTTATTCTGGTACAGAATGAAGACATACATATATATTTAAGATGGTAGCAGTCAGACAAAGATTGCTACAGCAGCTATTGGCTGGTAGAAGAATGATTGGAATGTTTTCACCACGGCATTAGGACATAAATATGCCATGGAAGGAAGAAAGAAAGGGAAAATTTTCAAGCACTGAAATAACTGGCAGTCATATAGTCTTTGACAAATATCTCTACTAAAAATATTTGTGCTTCTCCGTGATAAAATGTTAGTCCCAATTAATGCCAAGCAGAAATGTCAGTTCTCAGTCAGTGTAGAGAAATGTAAATAGAGGTGTAAAGTCCAATCAGTCTAGAGAAATGTTAACAGAAATGTAAAGTCCCTGTAAATGCAAAGAGATATAAACAGAATTGTAAAGTCCCAGTCAGTGCAGTAAAAAAAAAAACGTTGTGTAACATATGAATTTAATGGGAAACGAAAGCAGCTAAGAATTACTAATATTGTAATAAAGTGTATTTCGGTTTGATGTTGGATTTTTAGATGTAGAGAATGACTGGAGAAAAACCCGAACAATATAAGGTTCCATGTCAAAACCTATGTTTCGTGCCACCCCAAGATTTATTATCTATTCAACCATCTTCAGGTATTTTCTGGTAGGATACAGTAAAATGGATGATGAACTATTATTGATTTTAGCCACTTTATTTACAAACTAGAAAATTTAAAAATGACTTGATGCATGAGGCATGGAAAGATGGCATTCATTTTGTTACATTCAGCTCTAATTGATGTCTGCTTTCTTCCAACTTCAGGGCATGCATTTGCATACTCGTCAGTATTTGTGCAATACATGCAAAGCAGCTTTCAAAACACTCGGAGCTTTGATTGGACACACCAAGCGGGTGCATGAAAATTGGAGGTCACCAAATCAGAAGATTTTTATATGCTCCGTGTGTGAGAAGAGATTTACCAAGAAATACCACGTTGACCGGCACATGTTGATTCATACAGGAGAGAAGCCTCACAAGTGTACGGACTGCGGCAGATGCTTCAACAATAAATCTAATCTTATGTCTCATATACAGCTGGTACGTTGTGTTGCTGTCTATATTCTTCTGAGGTAATGGGATAGGAGCAGGACTTGGGCAAAGATCCCTTTTTACTTGTTGTCTCTTGCTAGTTGTCTCTCTTTTTTTTTGGTATATTTAACATTATGCAGAGAGTATTTAAAGAAATAGTGCATCTCGGTAAGTGCTTAATCAATTATTTTTGTTATTGTCCCAAATACAACATATCAAGGCAAAACTTTTGGTCATGAGAAACATTGGTGCAAGTCAAACTTCACAGGTCGCTGAGTGAATTACAACAGACAGTGAAGTTCATACTAGAGACAACATTGCAGATGTAGATCATCTGTTTCAAGCGAACACAAGAAGAAGATACAAAGGGTTCAGTGATTTATTCCACATTATAGCATAAATATTGTATTAACCCTTTGTCTCATAAACATTTTAGAAAATCACCTTTCCTCCCTTACATTAAAAAAAATGCATCCTTATAATTCTCTGAAACTACCCGAAGAAACTAGAAAAAGAAGCAGAAGAAATTTGGTTTGTTGGTCAGTTTTTATCCAGGAGGTCAAACCCCGTGATTGCCGCCGAATAGACAGGCAGGCGAAAAGCCCAATGTTTCTTTGATGACGTCAGAATAAAATCTTAACCCACACAGTTGTGGCGACAGCACTAGCCATGCAGCCGTAAATCCTCAGGCTGAAAGACCCACCCTGCCTACACCGCACAAGTGGGATAATAAAGGCAGTAATTGACAGAGAGGGTCAAGACTAAATTAATCTCACTGTTCAACTGCTATTTTGGATGTGTCAGGTCTGTTACTCATTTGTATCCACTTTATGTTCAGTATGCTCTGTCATTTCTCTTTCTTGTTTTATAGTATCTATTCAACACTACTTGTTTGCAAAGTGTTCACATCACTGTATGAAATGTTTCTGTTGTTCAGATGTTTCATATGTATATAGGATATATCATAATTTTTTCAAATACTCTAACAGCTGTAACTTTTAAACGAAGTCTAAACTATTATTTATAAAAAAAAAATTTTTTTGAAACATTTTTTGGAGGTTACTAGAGGTTTAGTTACGTTTCGTAATTCCTGATATTAAATAAATGTGTACCTAAGTACCATGTATGTGTATCTTCAGTTCCTCAGGCAGAAAGGCATATAGGTGTGCCCTACAATTTTTATATTGTGAAACAGTTGAATTCTAAACTATTCTAGCCATTGCATAATTGGCACACTTTGAGGAAGAAAAGTAACATTGCCTCTGTCCTAAGAGGTGTCAAAGGGTAGGGGTGGTCTTCATGTTGGCTGCTTGATCTCATTAAAAAAACTTTGGCCACAAAAGCCAGTCAACTATAAACTGGTCTAAAGCTTGTTGGTTGCTCTGTGTTCTAATAAGAGCTAGAGGACAGTGGAAGTATGGTTGGAGGGGGGGGGGGGAGAGAGCTAGAGGGTAGTGGAGGTAGAGAGAGTCTTGGGGCTAGAGGGTAGTGTAGGTAAAGAGAGTCTAGGAGCTAGAGGGCAGTGTAGGTAAAGAGAGCCTGGGAGCTAGAGGGCAGTGTAGGTAAAGAGAGTCTGGGAGCTAGAGGGCAGTATAGGTAAAAAGAGTCGGGGAGCTAGAGGGCAGTTTAGGTAAAGAGAACCTGGGAGCTAGAGGGCAGTGTAGGTAAAGAGAGTCTGGGGGCTAGAGCACAGTGTAGGTAAAAAGATGCTTGGGAGCTAGAGGGCAGTGTAGGTAAAGAGAGCATGGGAGCTAGATGGCAGTTTAGGTAAAGAGAACCTGGGAGCTAGAGGGCAGTGTAGGTAAAAAGAGCCTGGGAGCTAGAGGGCAGTGTAGGTAAAGAGAGCCTGGGAGCTAGAGGGCAGTGGAGGTAAAGAGCCTGGGAGCTAGAGGGCAGTGTAGGTAAAGAGCCTGGGAGCTAGAGGGCAGTGTAGGTAAAGAGCCTGGGAGCTAGAGGGCAGTGGAGGTAAAGAGAGTTGGAGGCTAGAGGGCAGTGTAGGTAAAGAGAGTTGGGGGCTGGAGGGCAGTTGAGGTAAATAGAGCCTGGGAGCTAGAGGGCAGTGGAGGTAAAAGAGAGTTGTGGGCTAGAGGGCAGTGTAGGTAAAGAGAGTCTAGGTGCTAGAGGGCAGTGTAGGTAAAGAGAGTCTGGGGGCTTGAGGGCATTGGAGGTAGAGAGAGTGGGGGCTATAGCTTAGTGTAGGTGGAGAGAGTCCGTGGGCTAGAGGGCAGTGGAGGCAGAGATAGTTGAGGTAAAGAGAGCCTGGGAGCTAGAGGGCAGTGGAGGTAAAGAGAGTTGGGGGCTAGAGGGCAGTGTAGGTAAAGAGAGTCTAGGTGCTAGAGGGCAGTGTAGGTAAAGAGAGTCTGGGGGCTTGAGGGCATTGGAGGTAGAGAGAGTGGGGGCTGTAGCTTAGTGTAGGTGGAGAGAGTCTGTGGGCTAGAGGGCAGTGGAGGCAGAGATTGTTGGGGGTGAGGGGGGGGGGGTGCGCTAGAAGGCAGTGGAGGTATAGAGAGTCGGAGGGGAGGGGGGGGCCTAGAGGGCAGTTTAGGTAGATGAGTCAGGGGGGGCTAGAATACATTGGAGGTATATAGAGATAGGGGGCTAGAGGAGGTAGAGAGAGTCAGGGGTGATGGTTTGAGGAGGTAGAGTCATGAGTGGAGGCGGGTTTAGAGGGCAGGGGAGGTAAAGAGAGTCGGGAAGGGATGGGGGAGGCAGATGGCAGTGAAAGTAGGGAGAGTTCGGATCTGATATTTGAAGTCAGTTGCCATTGATCAATGAACATTGGAGACATGCTGTGTCTAAATATTTAGGCAGCTGAGATAGGAACCATTTAATGGAAAGCAGATTGCCTCATAGGTAAAGTTAAACAGTAGCTTTCTTTTTGTGAAAGCAAAGTGAGGCTACTGGAAATAACAACTTTGACCTGATGTCTGCAGGTGCACAAGAAGCTGACTCCATACCTGTGTGATTTATGTCATGAAACTTTCAAGCGCAAGAAGCTGCTGTTAGAGCATATCGGCAAGATTCATGTCGCACATGGGGAGGCAGCAAAAGCTATGCAGGCATACATCCGTAAAATTGAGGAGACTGGGGATGATGATGATGATGAGTTGGGTCAGCACACAATCACCATCGCTCCCGCAGGCTCATCACATCATGATGCAGATGATGGAACTACAACGGTTTATGCCCAGGTAGGTTTATGTGTATCACTGCTTTGTGCTTTTAACAGTTTGTGGAAATTAGACAACACTGTGTTTATTGATACATGTACAGAGAAATGTCTGCATAGACTGGGATTTTAGCCGGCTTTCCAGCAGTCAGTCCTGATGGGGACTGAGCAGAGTTTATTGGTGTGGTGGGTTCTTCTTGTGAGATTGGGGTCTCTGCTAGTGAGCTGAGATTGGGGTCTCTGCTTGTGAGCTGAGATTGGGGTCTCTGCCTGTGAGCTGAGAATGGAGTCTCTGCTTGTGAGCTAAGATTGGGGTCTCTGCTTGTGAGCTGAGATTGGGGTCTCTGCTTGTGAGCTGAGATTGGGGTCTCTGCTTGTGAGCTGAGATTGGGGTCTCTGCTTGTGAGCTGAGATTGGAGTCTCTGCTTGTGAGCTGAGATTGGGGTCTCTGCTTGTGAGCTGAGATTGGGGTCTCTGCTTGTGAGCTGAGATTAGAGTCTCTGCTTGTGAGCCGAGATTGGGGTCTCTGCTTGTGAGCTGAGATTGGGGTCTCTGCTTGTGAGCCGAGATTGGGGTCTCTGTTTGTGAGCCGAGATTGGGGTCTCTGCTTGTGAGCTGAGATTGGGGTCTCTGCTTGTGAGCTGAGATTGGGGTCTCTGCTTGTGAGCTAAGATTGGGGTCTCTGCTTGTGAGCTGAGATTAGAGTCTCTGCTTGTGAGCCGAGATTGGGGTCTCTGCTTGTGAGCTGAGATTGGGGTCTCTGCTTGTGAGCTGAGATTGGGGTCTCTGCTTGTGAGCTGAGATTGGGGTCTCTGCTTGTGAGCTGAGATTGGGGTCTCTGCCTGTGAGCTGAGAATGGGGTCTCTGCTTGTGAGCTAAGATTGGGGTCTCTGCTTGTGAGCTGAGATTGGGGTCTCTGCTTGTGAGCTGAGATTGGGGTCTCTGCTTGTGAGCTGAGATTGGGGTCTCTGCTTGTGAGCTGAGATTGGGGTCTCTGCTTGTGAGCTGAGATTGGGGTCTCTGCTTGTGAGCTGAGATTGGAGTCTCTGCTTGTGAGCTGAGATTGGGGTCTCTGCTTGTGAGCTGAGATTGGGGTCTCTGCTTGTGAGCTGAGATTAGAGTCTCTGCTTGTGAGCCGAGATTGGGGTCTCTGCTGGTGAGCTGAGATTGGGGTCTCTGCTTGTGAGCCGAGATTGGGGTCTCTGCTTGTGAGCTGAGATTGGGGTCTCTGCTTGTGATCTGAGATTGGGGTCTCTGCTTGTGAGCCGAGAGTTGAGTCTCTGCTTGTGAGCTGAGATGGGTCTCTGCTTGAGCTGAGATTGGGTTCTGCTTGTGAGCTGAGATTGGGGTCTGCTTGTGAGCTGAGATTGGGGTCTCCGCTTGAGCTGAGATTGGGGTCTCCGCTTGAGCTGAGATTGGGGTCTCTGCTTGAGCTGAGATTGGGGTCTCTGCTTGTGAGCTGAGATTGGGGTCTCTGCTTGTGAAATCCATTTTTCAGATCTAGCTTATTTGTACACAGACTTTATTCCTTGCCTCGAAGGCAGATGCACTCTGACTTTGAGAGTTTTAACCAGTCATCTGATATGCTGTCTGATATTTGTGAGTTAAAATTAAATTCACTCAGTGTAACTCACAGAGAAGACAAAAGTACAGTCCATTTCCATGACGAAGAAAATTGGCTCGGCAGTCTAGCCCTAACTTACAATAAGTCAGTCTGTACTCAACAAGTGATGTGGTTAATTACCTGATGTCAATTTTATACTCAGCGCGTCTCAGTTTAAAAATAATTTTGATGGGGATTTGAACCTATGGCCGTTGGACTGGAAGGCAGGCATGTAATCTACCGACAGCTGTGACTCTCAGGTTCCATGTGTAATAGTACTGTGAACTGTGATTTTGCTGGATCTCAGGCTAGACTGGAAATGTCATTTTCTACTACTTTAGCTTGATTTAGTTGGAAAACAGTGATGAGTTTGACCTCTTTCTCGGAGCATTTTCACATAAATTGAATGCTTGCAGGCTGTAAGTATGTTCACATAAATTGAATGCTTGCAGGCTGTAAGTATGTTCACATAAATTGAATGCTTGCAGGCTGTAAGTATGTTCACATAAATTGAATGCTTGCAGGCTGTAAGTATGTTCACATAAATTGAATGCTTGCAGGTTGTGAGTATGTTCACATAAATTGAATGCTTGCAGGCTGTAAGTATGTAGACATGATACTAAATGTTTGCAGGTTGTGAGTATGTAGACATACAACTGAATGTTTGCAGGTTGTGAGTATATAGACATACAATTGAATGCTCGCAGGTTGTGAGTATGTAGACATACAATTGAATGCTTGCAGGTTGTGAGTATGTAGACATACAATTGAATGTTTGCAGGTTGTGTGTGTGTAGACATACAACTGAATGTTTGCAGGTTGTGAGTATGTAGACATACAATTGAATGCTCGCAGGTTGTGAGTATGTAGACATACAATTGAATGTTTGCAGGTTGTGAGTATGTAGACATACAATTGAATGTTTGCAGGTTGTGTGTGTGTAGACATACAATTGAATGTATGCAGGTTGTGAGTATGTAGACATACAATTGAATATATGGAGGTTGTGTGTGTGTAGACATACAATTGAATGTATGCAGGTTGTGAGTATGTAGACATACAATTGAATGCTCGCAGGTTGTGAGTATGTAGACATACAATTGAATGTTTGCAGGTTGTGAGTTTGTAGACATACGATTGAATGCTTGCAGGTTGTGAGTGTGTAGACATACAACTGAATGTTTGCAGGTTGTGAGTATGTAGACATACAACTGAATGCTTGCAGGTTGTGAGTATGTATACATAAAATTGAATGCTCGCAGGTTGTGAGTATGTAGACTTACAATTGAATGCTCGCAGGTTGTGAGTGTGTAGACATACAAATGAATGTATGCAGGTTGTGAGTATGTAGACATACAACTGAATGTTTGCAGGTTGTGAGTATGTAGACATACAATTGAATGCTCGCAGGTTGTGAGTATGTAGACATACAATTGAATGTTTGCAGGTTGTGAGTATGTAGACATACGATTGAATGCTTGCAGGTTGTGAGTGTGTAGACATACAACTGAATGTTTGCAGGTTGTGAGTATGTAGACATACAACTGAATGTATGCAGGTTGTGAGTATGTAGACATACAATTGAATGTATGCAGGTTGTGTGTGTGTAGACATACAATTGAATGCTCGCAGGTTGTGAGTATGTAGACATACAACTGAATGTATGCAGGTTGTGAGTATGTAGACATACAACTGAATGTATGCAGGTTGTGAGTATGTAGACATACAACTGAATGTTTGCAGGTTGTGAGTATGTAGACATACAACTGAATGTATGCAGGTTGTGAGTATGTAGACATACAATTGAATGCTCGCAAGTTGTGAGTATGTAGACATACAACTGAATGTATGCAGGTTGTGAGTATGTAGACATACAACTGAATGCTTGCAGGTTGTGAGTATGTAGACATACAATTGAATGCTCGCAGGTTGTGAGTATGTAGACATACAATTGAATGCTCGCAGGTTGTGAGTATGTAGACATACAACTGAATGTATGCAGGTTGTGAGTATGTAGACATACAACTGAATGTTTGCAGGTTGTGAGTATGTAGACATACAACTGAATGCTCGCAGGTTGTGAGTATGTAGACATACAATTGAATGTTTGCAGGTTGTGTGTGTGTAGACATACAACTGAATGTTTGCAGGTTGTGAGTATGTAGACATACAACTGAATGCTTGCAGGTTGTGAGTATGTAGACATACAATTGAATGCTCGCAGGTTGTGAGTATGTAGACATACAATTGAATGCTCGCAGGTTGTGAGTATGTAGACATACAAATGAATGTATGCAGGTTGTGAGTATGTAGACATACAACTGAATGTTTGCAGGTTGTGAGTATGTAGACATACAACTGAATGCTCGCAGGTTGTGAGTATGTAGACATACAATTGAATGCTCGCAGGTTGTGAGTATGTAGACATACAACTGAATGTATGCAGGTTGTGAGTATGTAGACATACAACTGAATGTATGCAGGTTGTGAGTATGTAGACATACAACTGAATGCTCGCAGGTTGTGAGTATGTAGACATACAATTGAATGCTTGCAGGTTGTGAGTATGTAGACATACAATTGAATGTTTGCAGGTTGTGTGTGTGTAGACATACAATTGAATGTATGCAGGTTGTGAGTATGTAGACATACAATTGAATGTATGCAGGTTGTGTGTGTGTAGACATACAATTGAATGTATGCAGGTTGTGAGTATGTAGACATACAATTGAATGCTCGCAGGTTGTGAGTATGTAGACATACAATTGAATGTTTGCAGGTTGTGAGTATGTAGACATACGATTGAATGCTTGCAGGTTGTGAGTGTGTAGACATACAACTGAATGTTTGCAGGTTGTGAGTATGTAGACATACAACTGAATGTTTGCAGGTTGTGAGTATGTAGACATACAACTGAATGTATGCAGGTTGTGAGTATGTAGACATACAATTGAATGTATGCAGGTTGTGTGTGTGTAGACATACAATTGAATGCTTGCAGGTTGTGAGTATGTAGACATACAACTGAATGTATGCAGGTTGTGAGTATGTAGACATACAACTGAATGTATGCAGGTTGTGAGTATGTAGACATACAACTGAATGTTTGCAGGTTGTGAGTATGTAGACATACAACTGAATTTATGCAGGTTGTGAGTATGTAGACATACAATTGAATGCTCGCAAGTTGTGAGTATGTAGACATACAACTGAATGTATGCAGGTTGTGAGTATGTAGACATACAACTGAATGCTTGCAGGTTGTGAGTATGTAGACATACAATTGAATGCTCGCAGGTTGTGAGTATGTAGACATACAATTGAATGCTTGCAGGTTGTGAGTATGTAGACATACAACTGAATGTATGCAGGTTGTGAGTATGTAGACATACAACTGAATGTTTGCAGGTTGTGAGTATGTAGACATACAACTGAATGCTCGCAGGTTGTGAGTATGTAGACATACAATTGAATGCTCGCAGGTTGTGAGTATGTAGACATACAACTGAATGTATGCAGGTTGTGAGTATGTAGACATACAACTGAATGTATGCAGGTTGTGAGTATGTAGACATACAACTGAATGTTTGCAGGTTGTGAGTATGTAGACATACAACTGAATGTATGCAGGTTGTGAGTATGTAGACATACAACTGAATGTATGCAGGTTGTGAGTATGTAGACATACAACTGAATGTTTGCAGGTTGTGAGTATGTAGACATACAATTGAATACTTGCAGGTTGTTAATATGTAAACATAAAATTTAATGCAAGCTGTAAATGCGTATACATAAAATTAAATTCTTGCAGGCTGTGAATATGTAAACATAAAACTTGAATAATTACAGGTTGCAGACGGAACTTACCAGGCCATGGTGACAGACTCATCTCAGGTACTGCATGGCCAGACTTTCACCACACTGCAGACAGACGGAGGGGAGGAGACCATTATTATTGTTCAGGCGGCAGATCCAGATGAAGTGACCCATGCCATTGTTGAACAAGATGGCAATGTCCAGTTTGCCTTGCAGGCAAGTGATAATGGACCAGCTGATGGTGGCACCAGCTTTATCACAATGTGAACATCAGGATATTTGACTCCTGACTCAGCTGTAGCAACTGGCATGTGTCCGAGATATTGATTACCCCCAGATTGGTTCTAATGAGTTCACTTCTATCTAATGAATGCACTTGTGTGTTCTGGCTGATTTCATTTTGGTGTGTTTGCTTATCTAGTTTAGAAGCAGTGAATGATCAGCAGACAGCTATGTCACTAGCTGTGGCACCCTTTCATTTTCTTTCTTTGAAATAGTTTTCATTGCCATGGTATTCCACAGACTTGATTATTGAATGCTTCTTGAAACACATTGAAGCTGGCTTGACTTTGGCTACATTTATTTTGTGGGACTACAGCGGATTAGCATATGTGATGTCTCCTGTATGAGCAGGCAACTGAGTGTCATTGATAAAAGGTTTGCTAAAAATGTTGTGTACTGACTGTAGAGACCAAATAGCAGCATTTCACTGACTGCGCACAATTATTTCACATCAGATGTGGTGTCTCAAAATTTCTCAGCTTACACAAGGACTGGGACCGACTAGAAATAATAGCGTCCATGTTTGGATTGCGCAGGCCTGTTTTATTTCACCATTTGGACTGCTTCTAGTAATTAGTACAAGAAATATAAACTCCTTCCGTAAGCCTGGGGTGGTGGCTCACTTGTCTAGCCTTTTCTCAACAGGGTTAAAAAAAAAACGTTGAGACCTTGTGTGGAATTTGCACATGTTAAAACTGTCTCAACAAATGAAACAGCAGCAAACTGAATAGGTCACTGCCAGATTAGGCAGGTGAGTGTTTATATTAGCCTTATTTTTCATATAGACCAGTTGTATTTTTCAAAAAACAACATCAGGAAAGGTTTTGTCCATGTATTGTTTTATTTTTCTAATATAGTCATTAGAAATTGTTTTTCTTGGTTCCGCTGTCTCGGGGGATTGCCACACACACACTGTCCACTTGTTAGCATTGTTTTTAGTTTAAGTTTCCACTTCTGTTTGCGATGTTCACTGCAAGTGTCAGAATTTGTGACGGTTGCTTCCTTTCTTGAATCGTTCACTTGTGGGCACAACCCTGTGCTTGATTTACTCGTATGCGGACACAAGCATTATGAAAGCTTCATTATGTTTTGGCATCTTTTAGTTTCTGTCTACATATTTTATTTGATGCTTTAGTGGTTTCATATTCGTGGGGGTTCTGGGGCCCCATTGTGGAGAAAACAAGAATAGACCCACAGCTCCTCTAACGAGCATGTCATAGGGGTCAAGATTGGGGACGTCCTTCGAAGTCGGAGTACATCTGCCTGAAAGGCAAGGAACCACAAGTCTGCATATAAATAATCCACATCTGTAGAATGGATGTGCACGCAACACTCAGGTTGTGGAGCAAGACTAAGTCCGGAAGGTAACGAACACCCAGAACTTTCCACCAGGGATTACAGCGAAGTGAACATGAGAAGAAGATTTGCAGTAATAAATTAATATAAATTTTGCTGGCAACTTTATCACATTTTGAAACAACTATTGTCATCTTGATTACTTTGCAACAGTGATTATTTTGTTTCTGTGTGCATTTTACAGATATTTGCAAATATTTGTTCAGAGGCTTGTTTGTAGCCACTGGAAGAATTCCTAAAGGAAGATTCACATATTTGTGCAGACTTTTACACAGCACAGTTAATATTGTGAATCCACTTAATTGATTTCATGGAGATATTTTTTTTTTAGCTGCATCACCATTTACTTTGATTCCAAATTAATTAAACATTGAATCATAACCTTGGAGGTGGAGTGTTGTGTGAATCTCAGCCTGTAATTTGTTTCCTTCTTTTATCATTTCTGAAATGCTTCTATTGAGTTTCATAATCTGAAATGCTTCTATTGAATTTCATAATCTGAAATGCTTATATTTTTGTAAACCTAGAATGGTATTTTGTAAAGCTTTCTTTTCTGTATGTAAATATTTATTACATTCCTGTGAATTGGTATGCATCACATTTAAAATTGTAAATGATGAAAGCGTTTATCTTTCCTTTTATGTTTAACAACCTTTCTCAACAAAAGCATGCAGGGGACATGCTATTTTTTAGGTTCTGGTTTGATGTGATTGATGACACCTTTTAATGTCATCTAGAATGACAGTGTCATTCCACACTTACCATAGACAACATGTCTGACATGTGAATATGCCCCAGTTAGAATATTTGTTGAGATGTCTACAGTAGATCAGTCTCCATGCTGCTGTTGTCTGACAGTTCTGTCTCTGGGTGGTCACTTTCAGAGTCACTGACCAGTCAGGAGGTCCATGAAGCTTGTTACCTGTACAACATTCATACTAAGTGTATATTTTTGTCCTCAGTGTTTTTTTAACTGTTTGAGTTTGTGATGTAGGGTAATCTTGTCACATAGCTGAGCCCAACAAGTTAGCCAGAAATCAGGTGTCTGTGTGTGTGTTTTTTTTTCCAGTTCATGCTCTTGTGTAAATATTTTTTGAGATATTTACTAATAACTTGACAAACATCAGCACTTATGTGTCATTGATCACAAATGTGCATCTTTAACTAGACAGTTTCTAGAATGGAAGAACAAAGGATACGTGTATATAGGCAGGAGCCAGTGGCCGGCACAACCGATGACAGTCATGTGACGTAATGTCTGTGTCTCAGTTGATGTAGTTTTCAGTGGATCCTGCTGCTGCTGCTGCTGCTGCAACATTATAAACTTGGAAATGGACTACAGATGTTGTTGAAGCTACTGTCTGTTTTTGTTTTTCAAATGTATTGAAGTTAATAAAACACTGACAGTGAAATACATGTTTAAGCTGGTGGGTTTCAGTTTTGCTTGACACATGTTCATCTTTGTCCTGGAATTGATGTTTATGAACAATCTTCCATTTAATTGTAATATATCTGCATTATTGTTGCTTGTTTCACTGTTGTTCCCTTCTAAAAACAATACAGCAGTGATATTATAGTGATTAGTTCCCTGGCCTATCAGTGTAGCAGTCCTAGTTCCATCCCCTGCCATGCTGGGATTGTTTTCATGACTGTAACCACAGGGTGCTCTCATGTGAGAGGCCCTGGTTTAATTCCTAAACATGGATACTGGAGGTTTATGTTGAAGCACAGACAACTGGTCACCTTAGCTGATAATGCTGGGAACTAACTGTTGCACCATAGGATTACTGCACCTTAACTGCCTTGTAAAATATATAATGTTTGATGGTTTGTGTATACAGGGTTTTGAATGAGTTAAATTCATTTGTCAGCAAGTATTGTGTCATCTAGTATTGATTGCTTGAAATGATAACTGAAGGAACAGACCATGATGAAGATTGTATTTGTCACTTGTTTTAAGTTAGTATGAATTCCATTATCCATAAAACCTTCACTGATTGATTCTTTTTCATGTTTTTTTTTTTTAATACCATTTTAGTCAGTACTAAAATAAATCATGTAACTTGTCAACATTCTTGGTGTTTTAACTCGCTCATAAATTACGTAGATTTAACGAACGAACAAACTAACTTTATTTTCAAAGCTTTAAGAATTGGGCACACAGGTCCATCTAACATTCTGCCCTTCCACTCCCCTCCTTGAATACAATTATTCATTTGTACCTCATTTCATAGTTAATAATAATAATAATAAGAAGAAGAATTATTTTTTAAAAAGTTTACAATATCTAAGTCTTCATTACAAATTATGGGATGTGCTCTAATTATACTGACATGACTGAACGTTTTAAAGAATATAGTCTTCTTCTTCTTCTTTCGTTAGCCTGAAATAAGTTGTCTATATCAGCAGTTTTGTCTCTTGTATAAATTTCACTGTCGTTGTTAGTTCATTCAGTGGTCCATAGAGTTTACGTTCCACTGTTGTTCTTTCTGGTAAAAAGGTTTGCCTTAATGTGTCAAAATCGGTGCAGTCCTGGAGTACATGCTCTGCTGTCTGGGGCACATTTCCACAGGTGCACATGGCTGATACACCTATCTTGAATTTTGTGTACATGTGGTTACGTAATCGGTTGTGCCCTGTTCTGAGGCAGAGGATAATGACTTGTTCTGGCCTGTCCATAATAAAATAGTCATCTTGTGCTGGGGCTGGTGGTTTCCTGATCGATTTAATGATTCTTTTCTTTTGGTGGTATGTGACTGGTACATCCGGCTGCTCTTTTGTCGCACTTTCCCCTGACAGTTGATCAGCTTTCTCATTTCCAGGCACTCCACAATGAGACAGTATCCACTGCATTACAACACTTCGCTGAAGGCTGAGTTGTGTCAGCAGTGTTTGCAATTCTGGTAGTTTCCTAGACTGGAGTGTTTCAAGTACTGATTTAGCATCTGTCAGCATTACCACATACTGTGAGCCAAGGTTGGTATTTAGCAGTTTCTCTGTAGCTATCTTGATAGCCTGGGTTTCTGCATCATAGTTATAAGAATATAGTAATAAGCCTATTCCAAAAATGATATAAGTCTTACAGGTCGCATAATATAAACATCAACATCAATTAAATATTAGTTAAAAACGTTGGCATGCGTTTGACTGGCATCTTCATTTTTTAAACAATAATAACCTTCAGTTTTTAAACCCCAAAAAAATTGAATAAGACATCTCATGGAGATACATCATAGCCTTAACATACTGTAATCTTGGAGGGGACATATAGTCAGTAGATTTGAAGAGGCAGGGGTCTGTTATTGTATCAAGTGCAGTCCTGTGGTCAGCACTAAGTTACTGACATGTACAGGAGGACCTCACGATCAATATCCAGTATAGCCAGTGTGGGCTGATGCAAGGCTGTTCTGTCCAGACATCATTATTCATGATGGTTATGGACTAGCAGGTTAGTGAGACACGTATGGCAGTTTGTGGTTGTCTGTGAAGGATGCACTGGAATGCTTGGCTCAGTAGTTAACAACAATGGATTTTGCTCACCAAAAATTAGAAAGACACCTGAGCCACAGTGGCATAGTGGTTTGAAATCTTGATAAGGATGTTTTGCAAAAGACCTGCTACATAATGAA